GTCATGCGTACGGCATTTGAATGGCCGTCCTGTTGATATTAGCTGTTTAGATGCTATTAGTGCAGGTCTGGTGGAAACATTCATGCCTGAGAGAGTCTGAATCCTGCATAAATGTCTAATAGTTCTGTAAATGCTCACGGTTCATGACAGGTTTCACTGACCCAGGGTCAGCACGAGTGTCACAGTCTCTTTGTTAAGTAATGGCAGTGCCCGTTTCTGTGTCTTTTCTGGGTTCAGGGTGTTGTAGAGGAGAGGGGGACACCCATAAAAGAGGCACCTCTCTTTTATTTCATGTCTAACCACCAACTCAAGCATGTGTGAGTTTATCAGGGCTGGGCAATGTGATTCAAAACATTTGTCTCCTTTTCCTTTCCATAAACACATGTAATTTTGTATTTCGTTCTTAATTTGTCAGTCAGTCTTGGTTGATCAGCCTTACCAAAATCAGTCCTGATTTCCCAAGTTTTTAAAAGCACACAGAGGAGATGCTACAGAAATACATGCAATACCAGATCCTAGCACTTGAGGGCGAGGTAAACTAATCAGGCGTTTGTTGGGCAGCTTTAGAGGAAGTGTTTTGGATCGCAAAAGAGTAAACAGTCCTTTACTTGGGATGGGTAATTTCACTCATTTGATTTTAGATCCAGTACTTTTTAAACAGGCAAATATTAAAACCAGCACTTATACCTGAAAAAAAAAGTTTGTGATTTCTGTGGATAAAGTAATTATAGCCATTTAACAGCTCAACTTAATTCAATAAGCATTATTAACATTTTAATTTGCATAAACAAATTTATATATCCTAATTTGTTTTCCATTTATTAACAACAATTATGGAATATTTTTTATTCACCTTGAAGCATGATACATGTTAATTTCAATGTTAAATAAAAGTCATTACTTAAATGTTCAATATAGAACAGAATATATGTCAATAAATATTACAATATAAAATAAAAATCAATATTTCCATCTGCTGTCTTGCATTACCATGCAGAAATTAACGGAATTCAAAGTCATTCCAGTGCCATTTGTTTGGGCTGGGCATGTACAAAACCCAGATGACCATCATATACTGGACATCAGCTCCAGGCTACTGGACAGATAGGTGGTATGGAAAAATCTTACCTGGGTCTTTTTCTGTCTATGCATTCTCACTGTTTGTTCTGTGTTCAGTTGTTCTGTTGTTCTGTTCAAAGAGACGCATGGGCTGCCTTCATATCCACAAAGCTGGAGACAGTCTTTCTGAACCGTATCCTCCCTGCGCTGGGCCTCAGCCACCTGTGGTGAAGCTAGACCATCCATCTTTCCCCTGCACACACTCTCTCACACACACACACAAACACACACACACACACATACACATATGCTGCTATGGGCTGTGTCTTGCAGTCATTGCATAAGCATCCTGATGTCTTAATGTAAGAGTTAAAGGAATAGTCTCTCAAATACCTTAATGTCGTTCCAAAATTGTATGACTTTCTATCTTTCATGGAACAAATATAGAAAATATAGAAATCTTCTCGCTGCTTTTGTCCTTTCAGTGAACTCACACAGTGTCTAGGGGCGCTCAAAAAGGACGAGACAGCACCTTTAAACTAGTCCATATAACTTATTCACTATATTCCATATCTTCTTAAACCATACTGTAAGTTTATGTGAGGAATAGTCCAAATTTTATGTCACTTTTTGCTAAAGATCTGTGGCTCTCAAATCACTTTTGTACATATTGATGTTCCATACTTGACACATTAAGCTTTAATGCCAATGACCAAAAACTATTGATTATCACAAGTCTTATAACCATTATAGCAAATTTAAATGTGCATGCATATATAGTGAATCACAATTTCAAGTTTTCTCGCATAAAACAAACAGAAGATTTGGAATATGGCGAATGAGTTGCATTGGCTACATTTATAGTGTTTTTATTGTGCTTTTTGTCCCTATTGGACCTTAACAGCCTAGGGATTCTACATGCTTTAATTTTATGGAAAAGAGCAGCATGAACATTCTTCAAAATATCTTCTTATGTGTTCCACCAAAGAAAATAAGTTGACAAGAGCAGTGAAATAAAATAGAATATAAAATAAAATTGTTTTTGTTATCAGTCAGGACTTTCATAGCACCTTTTTATAACACATATTTGATATTATTTGTTTCAAAATGTATTACATTTGAACTCTTGAAAAATATATGTTGAAAATTTGGAAAAAGGAATATAAAATAAACTATTTCTGTTGTTTCTATTCTACAGACGTCATGATATGTCCGTCTGGAGTTTATGTGTGTTTGAAGGGTGCAGATTGTTACGGTAGTCAGATGGCAAGTGTTACGCCGTGTTTAAGAGCCAATCTCTGGCGCCAGCGTGCTCATCCCTGCAGGTCGCAGTCTGCTGGGCTTTAGTCAGGTAGGCCCTCCATAGAGAGATGACTACAAAGGGCTCAGATGTGTCCATATGGCGGAGGGACAGAGCGAGGCGTGCGTTTGAGGTGCTTTGGAGTGCAGCCAGAAGAGTTGAGCGTGGCTTGGAGACGGCAGGGCCTGTCGAGAGTAGAGGTATGACAAAGCAATGCCTGTCTGGGTCTGAGTGAGGGTGTGAGAGTCTGTATGTGTGTGAGTGTGTTTGCTTCCTTTGACATGGCATATAGGTTAGATTTGTTTAGCCACCTGTGTGTGGGTGCATGCAAGAGTGTGTGGGTGCATGTTGCAATCTTATATTCACACACCTGCATATTTGTAATGCGTTCTGGATTAGTGAATGGACACTTTGGAGTGTAACTTGACTTGAACCTTTTGTGCTGAAGACATGAATACTTCAAACATTTATTGAGATGAGGTGTTTTATTACTTTTCTAAGCTATTGGACTTTTCGGCCTGTTAAACAATACAATGCGTGAAAATGGGTGATGCATTGTAATTTTCAGTTTTGTAAATTTCAAAACTGATGTTAAAGTGTTTATTTAGTCAAAAACTGATAATTGCATTTGGGTATTGGGTCATTTAAGTCTTTATGATCTTCAGAGTGTCATTTTCTAAGGTGACAAATTAAACCAGTTGTAGTAAAGTTCTTAAGCAAAGAGTTGCCTCTCAATGTTTTTGCCGTATTTTTGCCAAATTTGTATTTGACATATTAACGAATTTGACAGTGTAGAACCATTTTTTTGTCACGGTGAAGTGCGTCCACACTGCTAACATGTCAAAACACGTCATCTGAGAAGAGCTAACTAAACGTCACTGTTTCTGTAAATGAGTTTGGTCCTATTTCTGAATATTGGTGGCCAAAATTTTCATGCATCATTTGCAAAAACGATAGACTTCCATTGAAGGAGGGATCAGAGTTATATCTAGAGTCTGGAATATCATAGTTACTGACAGGAGCTGTGTCCGAAATGGAACACTTCCCTGCTAACAGAATGCCGAAAAAAAAAGTAGTTTGTCCGAATTCATAGTAAAAAACAGTAGGCGAAAAGTACCCGGATGACCTACTACATCTGCACCGCATACCGTGATGAAAGCATTAGCAATTAATCGCAACATGAAAATTTGATACCGGCATATCCCTAGCTGAGATACTGAAGTGTGCATTCGATGGACACTTTACTATCCCATGAGGTTACAGGAGAGGATTTGTGAATGGCAGTGAAGTGACGCACCAGATGCTGGTCGGTCACGTGGCAGTAACAACATGGCGGATGTAGTGCATCTGAAATTCATCCATACTACCCATATTCATACTGTATAGAATGTTCTAACAGTTGCAAAGTAAGTTCAAATTCTAATGTTGTACCTACAAATGTAATATGCAATTTTGGACACACCAAGTGTGTGATTGTTTATTTGGTCTAGGTGATCACCTAGCAACCTTACAAAACCCTAGTAACCCACATAGAAACACCCTGTCAACCATCAACAATGCCTTAGCATTATGATGGTGAGTCTTACGCTCATTTTCTGAAGAAAATTTAAAAATGTCACTTTTTATAGTCATTTTTGGTTCTCCAAGTCATGTATGTCATCTAATGTCTTTTGTAGTTCATTTGAGTGTGTGGGAGTGCGAAAGAGAGTGTCAGGCATGCAGCTCAAATCACGCTGTTTGGCAGACAATTACAAATTAAATTACATTTGTGTGTCTCGGGCAAAGGCTGACTGTCAGTGAAATGTAGAATTACTTATGTTTGGCTCACCCCATCCAAATATTTTCTAATTTTATTTGCATTCGTCATCATTTAGAGTTTTATATTTGATACTAATCATTTTGTTTTCATATATGCTCTATATTAGGACTACTAAATGAATGAATCGAGGAGGAAAGTAAATTCAACTTGTAATTTGCTGAAAAGGTCAATTAAATAAACCGAATGGAGGAAGAATGGAAGAATGAAAGAAAAGAAGAATTAATCCAAAAAGGGAATGATTCAATCAATTTAATGAATCAATCAAAGCTGGACTACTAAAACAGCTAAACACCAGATCCACGTTTATGAAATATTGTTATTTCATAATAAAAAAATATTTCGTTAATTCATAATAAAATTATTATGAAATATTGATATCATGTTGATACTGCACATAATATAATATTGTAAGCAATCCAGCATCATTGACTGGTTGACACTCCAACATAGTACGTATTGCATCTTAGCGCTTGTTGCCACCCATCATAAAATGGAAAAAAGAAGACAACACGATGTGTAGCTGCTCCAGCCACACAAAATCATGTCGGGGTATATTACATGTGAAAGCGCAACACTACCCACAATTGAATAAAGTTATTTTATTTTAGTAAAGTTATTTTTGTATATATTTTGTGCCGTTATTATTACATACAAAAAAGTTAAAGATTAATTTGACTAATGGCAATATTATTTTTCCCCCCAAACATTTCTTCAGATGTTGGGATTAATACCATTACCATGAATATTTTTGGTCAAGATAATCATGTAGTGAAGATCTGATATCATGACAGCCCTGCCTCCACCTCCACTATTTCCCTGCAGCACCTCAGCGAGCAGTCAGAGACGCTCAGCACCTCAAACAGGCCGACACCTCACATCCCCCGCTGACAGGTTAGTGAAAGGCCCGGATCTATTTGCATTAAATAAATAAAACCGATTGCTCGTCAAGCGTGCTGCAGTGGCAAAAGGTTCCAACTCCCAGATGCAGTCTCCATCTGTGCCTAGACCACCCCGTTCTGTCGCGTTACCTTTTAAATAATTTCACTGGGGCAGTACTTTTATTATAACACAATGTTTTCTCTCTCTCTCTCTCTCTCTCTATCTTTCATTGTCTCCCGATCTCTTTCTCCCTCCTCATTCTTTTCCGCTCCACTTAAGTTGCTTCCCACTGTGAGGACATTTTATCTTAACATTAGATGCCCCTGATCACATCGGTTTGGAACTATAGGCGAGTGGATGTGGACTAATTAATAAAGTGTTGGATAATGATTGGTGAACGTGGCAAGGGGCCTCTCTCACTGTTGTAGCTGATGAAAAGGAGGTGGTTTATTAGCGCTTAGAGAAGAGACTGTCCCACTCAACTTCTCTGTCTCTCTCTTTTTACTCTCTGAAAACGCCCTGTCTGCCCTCTCAGTTGAGGGTTGAACTGAAGGGATGGTACACACACCCTACACACACACAAGAACCCAGCGGCTCCACTGTGATTTAGAGTGCCTCAGATAATGAAGCCATATAAGCCTGTTATTTGCTGTTTTACAGCTTGTTTTATGAAGGTGAGCTGACAAGCACCGTCCATAATGGTTCCTGTCAGTTAAACTGACAGCATTACCAAGAGAAAAGAGCCCAAAGAAATTCAGCGCTCCAGAGAATAGCCGGCTTCTTTATGTGGGCTGTTGTCCTTTGATGGCCATCAGGCTGCAGGCTATCATTTTACATTTTACGCTGACTGCTATTGTCAGGAGACCATTATTGCCGCTGAACTCTGGTTAAATTCACACCTTGCCACTAATCAATTACAGCGTTGATCCATTAATCAGCTAAAGTGAAAGGAAAAGAAAGAGTCGTGGGTTAAAAGTAGGCTCCTCTTGGTTGTGTGGAGCAGTCCACTCCTCAATCACCAGGACCTTTTGACTTGGAATGTGCAAGTTGGGATGTTGTCTATCATCAGCCAGGGGGAAACAGTAGATCTTATTTTGATTTTTCCGCTCTGTGATTTTTGCTGTAAGCATACATGACAGTATGATTAATTTTCTAGTTACTGATGCTTGCTAAGGCAAGGTTTACTATTAGGGTGGTAGTTTTTGAACAAAATTCTAATCACAAGTATTAAACATCAACATGTAACTTTGTTATTCAAATCAAAGAGTTTGTTGCAGTCTATTACTTTTCTAGGTGATCTGATGATAAAATTGGCAGCAAAACATTGCATAGTTTTTCCAGGTTTGGGTCTCTCTTTTTATATTAAGAGATTCTATGATTCTTTGAATCTTTGAAATATGATTCTGTCCTCAAATTGACAACAATTACATTCATGTTCTTTTAAAATTTTAATGCATTGCCATTTAACTTAAAGGGCTAGTTCACCCAAAAATGAAAATTCTGTCATCATTTACTCACCCTCATTCTGCTGCAAACCTATGTGACTTAAAGGATTTTTTGACAGTTTTTGTCCGTCTGACCTGGACATTGAGACATGTTTCAAAATATATTCTTTTGTGTTTCACAGAAGAAAGTCAGTCATACAGGTTTGGACTGACATGAGGGTGAGTAAATGATGACAGAATTTTCATTTTTAGGTAAACTATCACTTTGTTTTTCTTAACAAGTTTCAAATAAAGTAGTTTTATTTGCATATCATATGTTCTAAGGACAGGCACGTGCAGAACGTTTCAAACCACGTTATGCATATCTCAAAATTTGTTCTTTCTGTATGCATATCAGCATTAATCTTTCAGGCTCAGGCTGTGGAGCATGCAAATTACCTGGTGCGAAGGGGAGGCGGCCATCATTTGGAGAGATTTTTTAAAAACATGTCAAACAAATCACTCCCCCCTCTCCTCCTCGCCGGCTTGTGTTCAGATGCTCTCAGTCTTGGAGGTGACACGATTTAACTGTAAATGAAGCCCTGCCACCCATTAAAATGGACAACGCATGCTGGTTCTGGTAAAACAATATTTTCAGTTCCAACAAATTGTCGGGAATAAGCAGGGGAAATGTTAGTGGAGGGCATGATAATTATAGATGAGACTTATTTATTTATGTGTGGAGTCACGAGGGCCTTTTTATCAGGACGAGATGAAGGCGATCAGCTCTTTAAGAGTCGTCCACATGTTGAATAGTCGAGTGGGTGGGGATGAATGTTTCTCGGGGGGTTAAAAGCTAATTGTGTTGATGCACAAAGAGGCACTTCAAAAGTCCTGGAAAAGAACAGAGTGGGGCGTCAGGAATAGTGGCGCTGTGGCAGAGCTCTTACTGTGGGAATGCATCAGAGATCGAGCTTCACCTTTTAAAGTGCCTAAAGAGAGGAGCAACTTCCTCCCTCTTATTCTGCCTCTTTCTTCCTGAATATTCCTGTCTTTCCTTAAATAAAACAAGCCCCCCTATCTTTTTTGTGTCTCCTCTTGTCAGTTTCTCTGACTGTTGCGGTTTTCTTCACTTCTCTGGCTATACTTTCCTGTCAGTCTGGCGTTGTTTCTCTCCCTTGTCCTTTCCCCCTCTGGGACAATCTGGCCCCTCAGCTGTCCAGCAGTTCCTTGTGGGTTTTTTTGTTAAGTGGGGAGGGAAGCACTTCTTGTGTAGATTTTTCGGTTCTTCAGTGTGTCACTTGGCCATGAGTGCCATTGTCTAAGGCTTCTTTTTCTCCATGCCCCTCTGCCGCAATGAGTTGTGTCTTTCCCTCATGATCAGCACTTTTGTTGCCTTTGTTTCTGGCTGTACCTCAGAAGTCCATCTCCCCTTTTATGTCCCTTCCATTCAAGCCGAAGGGAACAGTTGTGCTCTGTTGTGGAGATGTTCCACTGGATTTTCACCAGTGGGGTTTCCTTTCAAACCCTTCAAAGTGCTACAATGGAGCTCCAAAGGCCTGAATGGCTATTGCCGAGTGCACACTCTTAGTAGGATCCCTTATTTTGTTTTCCCGGAGTCAATAAAAATGCTAAGTTAAAAGCTAACCCTGTTGCCCTCCCCACACCCATTGCTTGCTCCCTCCCTTTGATGGACCCTACTCAATTATTTCTAAAGAAAAATTAATGGGAACATTTTCAGTGTTGTTCCCGCTGTGGAAACTTGAAACTTTAGATTTTATGACGGTTATTAGCGCACACATCTGCAGAAGTTCTTTCGGGGCCGGGTAACTTTCCACAACAGGTTGGCGTTATTATTTTGCTATGGTGTGATGAATTGGATATAGATGTTCCTCGTGCTGAAGGCAGTCATGAGTCTTTGGTCCAGGAAACAAAAACACTCTGATGCTTGACAGCTAAGCCGTCTGTAGTCTGAGCCTTTGTGTGGAGAAGAATTAGAGCTTAGAGTTTGCGGTTTGTCAACCTTTGTCTGTGTGCAGCTTTGCGAAAGAGAGAGAGTGAGCAACCCTTTTCCACAAGGATTACAGGTAGATGTGTAGGCCAGTGCACATAACTGCTATGACTTCACCCTCATTGTGCAGATTAGGGTGTAAAATCCACTCTAATGAGGCAGCGGCAAGGGGAACGATGGTGGAGCAGAGAACATGCAACTTCTGGGATATTGTTGCCAGGGTCACCAGCTGATCCTGTTACGAGAGGATCAGATTTGTCTGTCAGCCCAGAGAAGGATTGGAACGGGAGGGAGGTAAGGTGGCAAAAGAGAGAAGAAAGTTTCACTTTGCCTCTCTGACTATCGTCAGTGCCCCACAGTTAATTTGGCCACATATTTTAGCACTGGCACCTTGTGTCTTCCGACTGGAAAACAAGGCCGATCCCATGCTGAGAAGCAGCTTTTATTGGGATTGTTTTAGCCTGGTGCCAGAAGGAGGTGGGAGGGCAAGACAAGGCCTGGAAATGGGATAAATATTGATGACTCCTTGACCGTTTATTTCTGCACCGTCTTCCGAACTTATTTCATGTTTATGCATCACGCCATTGATTTGTTTTTGTTGTTTTTTAACCTTCTGTTTCATCCACTCCCTCCCACCCCATTCCTACATTTAATTTAAAAGCCCAAACACAACAGTTCCTGGAAATAGTTTGCATATTAAAAAGATGCTGATTATCGCAGAGTAGAAACACAAATATTTAATTTTGTGCATTTTAGACACAGCTACTGCTGTTGCTGCCAGACACTGGAAATAATTGTGAAATCTGCATATTGAAAGAGCTGTGGTTGACAGTGCTTATATGAGATGGGGAAGGGGGGGAGGTTAAATTGGACAACATATTTATCCATGGTGCCGTGTCCAGGGCTGTTTATGAATACATGAAACACAGGAGTTCAAAGGCTGAAATTCGATGCTGTAGGAAACAGACAAAACAGAAGAGAAATCTTTGTTTATTTTGTCTGGAAATGACTTTTATGTTTTTACAGGGTTTTCTAAAAGGCTATTTTATTTTTGTTGCCATCATTTGATTTCCCTTTGTGGGGTTTTGAAGAAGATTTGGCCTATTGGTTGTTTTGTCAGTGCAAGTTAAGATGAAATGCTGGTCTATTTATCATAAAATGCAGATGCAAGTTGCAGCATAGGACTGGTGCACTTATTATTTAAAATGTCACCAACATGTTTTTAGCCAGAGTGAACACAGTGGGCGGTTAAACGAGTGCATTCTTAGTTTGTGCGGCTAGCTTGCAGTATCATTAGGAAAAATATAATAGCTACTTATGTCAACGTTAAAGTCGTGCAGTAAATCTTCACATCATGTCTTCTGGTAAATTGGCATTTTGAAAGTGATGGTATACGACCCCATACATTCTCAGACCTCCTCCTTAGGGTCTAATCTCAAATTTAGAAGAGGAGAAGGAACATCTGAGATTAAATAAGAACATCTGAGAAATGTTAATGATCAACATTTTCTTTTTTAGATGCAACAGTGCAGTTTGGTAGGACAGTAATAGAGCTACAGCTGAGCAGAATCAATGTCCAACGAAACCACCAGAGGTTTTTGTATTCTCTCTTGGTCCTCTTATATAGGGAAGCCAGACTTACATTTAATGAGGACCAGGCCAGTCCAAAAGCATATAAAAGCAGCAAAGAGCAAAAAACCTCAGAACTCTCACCAGTAAATCACCAGTAGCACTAACTGCTAAGCTAACCACCCTGTTATCATAGCCTTTCAAGTCCAGAAAATTGAGGACTGCAGAAATGTTGTCTACATTAGGGATTGCTGAACTTATAAAACATATATCATAGTTTAATGACAGGGAAAAATGGCGGACAGATGTAACAATAAAATGGTCCAGGTTGCGTATCTCGGAAGCACTGTACGGATCTGGCCGGGAAGGCCAGCCCTCTCCAAATGGTTCCAGAGCTGCTGTAGTGCAGTAATAACATTTATTGCTTCTTGTTTTTATTGCCCATGGTCTGTGTTGCTTTTTATGTGAATTATTGTACACCTAATATTGGCCACTTGAGTTACTCTTACGTGTATTAATTTCAGGGTTTTCTTAGCTAAGTGCGGATCCAAATGAGAAGTGGGCAAATCATGTAATCAAATAAATCACTGGGAGATAAGCTCATTTTCCTGCAGTGACTTTCGTGAATGAATTAGTATGGTGAAAGTTGGTATAAAAATCTCATTAGCCATTGTTAAACAGGATTCCGGTTGGTTTATAATGTGAGAGTGGTATGCCACAAAGTTTTATGACTTTCATGGCTCAGTAAGCCAACATTGCAATCTGCTGCATAAGCTAATACTAATTACATCTGCAGTGTTTGCATTGCTATTATATAGCATCAATACGCTTAAAAGCCATGAGAAAAACATTTAGTTTGCAAACATTTTATTTAAAGAAAAGACAAGATGTAATTTCTTTGTGTGATGTGGTTCAGAGTGTCTGTGTGAATAAGAACCTCATTCGAATAAAGCAGACATTTATTACTATTTTTTTTCCTTTGGTTGGTCTCTGTCAATCAGTTTCTCCACCTGAGAATTAAATTCCCAAGTCAGAATGAATTATAATACTCTGTGCTGAATAAAGACCCCTTAAAATGAAATGGATTTGAAATGTGCTAAGTGGACTTCGAATCACTGACCTAACTGATTTGAATAGGGTTTTCTGTCTATTATCCAATTTGTATTTAACCCATTTTTATCATAATTATGTAATTGAAAAAAAATTAAGATCATCTCCAAAACAAGAAATTAGATAAATTTTTGCCACCATAAATTATTAATTTTTTTGCAACAGATTACCGAGCAAAAATGCTTCTAGAAATCCATAATCCATAAAGAAATAGTTTATACAAAAGTGAGCATTCTGTGGTCTTTTACTCATTAATGCTGTTCCAAACCTGACTTTCTTATGCAAAACAGAATATTAGGTCCCAAAAACTTTAATTGGTTGCCATTTTAATTTCATTGTATGGATAAACAATACCACTTTTTTAAAAACGTAAAAATCTTCTTTTGTGGAAGGTTTGGAATGACATTAGGTGAGTGCACTATCCCTTCGACATTGATGAATATAGTGTAAGAGGAATGAGAGCGTGAAATACACACTTATTCTTCTAACATGATCATCCGTTTGTGTGTGTATTGTCATGCAACTCGTATGAAATCTTTTATTAGAAGCATGATGATTATGCATGTATTAATATGACCATGACATGGACGTGTGCATGTCTACAGCACATGAAGACACAGCCAGCGTCCTTCCCTGCTGCACACACATCATCACGCTCTCTCGCGTGAGAGGCCAGCCGTTTGCTTTTCAAAACGCCACCCTCGGAGAACACCAAAAAACCTTTCCTGAATTTACCGACTTGTCTTTCCCTCCTCTATCTCCTTCAAACATAAAAGAGAGAGTAACAACTAAACAAAGCAAACTCCTTTCTTTCCCCGTGGCAGCTAGGTTGCTGCAAAGTGAAACCCCTACTGTGTTTAAAAAGGCATAGAGGGAGAGTAGCTTTGAATGGCGTTTCTCTATTAGACCCCTTGTACCTCCGTCAAGCGATCTGCTCCCGCTCTCTTTCTCTCTCTGATAACGATCCATCACGGAAACCCCTCTCTTCCCCCATGGAGGTTTTTTACTTTTTTTTTCTGCTCCTTTATGAAATCTATTCTTTAATTACGAGTGCCATCATTTTGTAAGCCTCCTACTTACAAGATAATTTATTTCTTTTTCAAGTGCTCACTTAAAATGGCTTTTTAACATTTTCACCCTGCAGCAGTATGCATTGAATGTAGAAGATTTAATTTGGATCCTCCCTCCCCCTTTTGCTGTACCCATTTCTTCGCCAACCCCCTACACACGTACATGCATAATGCCCTCTACCTCCTTTGAGATTGTTCTTTCCAATTTCGCTGTTTGTATTCTTTATTGCCAATCCGGGCACTGTAAGGTTTGAGGGTCTTGAGTATTAGCAAGTTCCTCCCCTCTCTCTGTCTGCATTGAGTGTGGTTTTGCATATCTCCTCCTCCTCCTTCCTCTTGTTGAGCTAGTGTCACTGACCAAATCCGAACACTATAGTATTGAGAATCCCTGCCGAGTCTCTGTGTACTTAGGCCCGCAAAGTGCTCGCAGCCATAACTACCTGAATTGATTTTAATTGCCTGGTATAGCTGCATCATCTCAGTCGAGAATATGTTTGCTTGGTTCTTGAGGGCAATTGTAAGCGTGAAGGATTGGATTAAGTGGCTATTGAAGTGACTTTAGCTTCTTTTGACAACAAAGACCAAAAGAATACTTCACCCCTTCACTCCCTCCTTAAAGTACTATGCTACCCCCTTCTTTTTGTCAGGGTGGAAAGGAATACAGTCAACTAATACGGTCCCTTCATGTGCAATCGCAAGGAACCGACAGGCAAAGACTGTTCCCGGCTGTAATTAGTTGTATGTGATACCAATTATTTGGCGCATTTATTAACGCTAATTGTTTGAACACCCTGACATACCGAAAAAAAACAATTAAAACGTGTCTGAGCCATAACAGTGGTTATTAGTGTGTGATAAAATGTGGAAATTAAGCCATAAACGCACACCTCTATTAGCCCTGACACAGGGGAACCGAAATCTGACAGCTTCTAGAAGTCATTTACCAGAAAGATTTGTGGTCTTGTCTTAACTTTGTTGTGTTGGGGTATGTAATCTCTCCCAAGTCTCTTTCACATCGCACTGGCTTGGCCCTAAATAGATTTATTCAGCTGTGATTGCTAAGCCATTGTGAATTAGCATTAGAGAAGAAACGTTTGCTCTGATGTTGTCGGAGATAACAGCCTCAGGTCAGCAGTGCTTATCCATTAGAGGACTGAAAGGAAAACAAACCTTGTTTCTTCAGTTTGTAAAGATTGGGAAGGGAAATTGAAGTTCAGGCTAAGTACTTGAGATTAGCCAGAGGTGTTTTTTTTATATACATGTGTGCAGGCATAAAGAAAGATCAGCAAACAAATGGATGGCTACAACAGATCTATAAAATATGGTTTTGAAATACTATTTTCAAGAAAGGTTTAAGTTTAATGACTCTAAAATGTCATCTGGTTTAACTCTAAAGTAAAAAGTAATGACCTATTTTGGTTAAATGCAACGTAATACGTAAATACATCAAACACTACACATTATTTTCAAAAAGTTTTTATTTTTTACTTTATTTATTTTTAAATTATATATGGTAACATGATTTTTTTTTAATCATGAATTATTTATTCATAAATATCATTGTGTTTGTGTAGCACCACATGATTTTACAAACTGAACTAACCTTGCCTTGTTGTAAAACGTCAAATTATCTGCTATTTTAAGATGCTTATTGACCCTGACACACAGTCATGAGGGTCTACAGGTGTCCTCTGTATGATATTATTTCCTGTTTATTTTTTTTCCTACATGTTGGTTGAACCACATGATTTTAGGTGGCAGACAGTTTTCAAATATTAATAACAGTATTTTTTTAATGAAATAACTAACATTATGCTAAAGATTTCTTTTCAAGAATTTCATTCTTTTCATTAGACCTTTTTATTCATTTTGATATTAGGACAGTTGTATGATGAAATTAAATGGGAAAAAAATTAAATGAATGATATCAAAATTAAATACAGAAATTAAAAGCATGCTTATCATAGACAAGTTGTATTCAAGTGATTCTGTGTCTGTGTTTTTAATGTAAATTAATAGATGAGACAAGATCATCAAATCTTGAATTTTCTTAGGGGGATAAGTCGTCTACTTTTGTCTGCGGTTCCCTGGTGTCAGTCTAGCCAGCGTTCCCATCATACTCCTGGCACCTCTCTGAAGTACATACCACGGCGTGCCGTGCTGTATGTTCCCGGCAACGACGAGAGAAAACTGCGGAAGCTGACTTCGCTGGACGTGGACTGCGCCGTTCTGGACTGTGAGGATGGAGTCGCCCTCAACAAGAAGGTACCGACCACCCTAACCTTTCATTCTTCACCCAACACCTGACTCTGTGAGACATAATCACAAAATCCTCATCATTTAAAGCTCACTTTTAGCCAGGTGCTGATCCTTAATCACTCCAAAGAAAGCTACCTAAGCGCAATGCCTAAAACAAGCACATTTCCGTCCCATTATGTGCCAATAAAGGCAAAAATGCCCCCCTATCACATTCACTTGAAACAAGGTGCCCACTTCACACTGAGCAAACAGCAGGACTTCAGCAGATGCTGCAGGTTAAAAGCATTCTCGACCCGCCCACACAGCCAGCCAATTGGCCCTGTTTACCTCTCCATGAAACCGTGATTGGAGCAGGAGCTAAAAGGAGAACCGGTGGAAAGGAGTCAGCTAACAAAGGTTTTTAAGTCATGTTAATAAAGATGATTGATTTGGCCAGAGGCTATTCCTGTTTGAGTGGGAAACACTTTGACATACAGCCTAAACTATGACCCCTAAAAAAAGGTGATGGATCCCAATGTTTTCCAACACCCACTAATTTCTTTATCACAACCAAGTGGGGGAAAAGGTTTCAAGAAAGCATCCACTAAAGCTGGCTTACTGCTTTCATGTCTTTTGTGTTGTTTCAGAGCTTTAGTTACAACTTGATCCATCTTTGACGGCCTTTAAGTGTCAAAAATGTGCTCAAAGGATAAAAACATGCCATTGTTACTGTGTCAGCATACTGACATATATCAACGTTAACATTGTTCTAAATTGAGAAGTATAAAAAGATAAGATTGCTGAGCCAAAATTCAGTTCTTCTGTGGGGTTCTGCCCAGATAGGATTATTTTGTTGAGGAATATTAATACTAGGTGATCTGAGAGGGGAGAAAATGGCATTAGAGAAGGGTCTCAGGTCCCCTCTCTGAGCTAAGCGGGTTTCTTTTCGCTAGCTCATGTTCCTGTCAGGGCTGATAGAATTAATGCTCTCTGTAGTCTCCCTGATAAAAATGCGAATAACTCACTCTCGAAAAATAACAATGTACTTTGCGAAGAGCTTTAGAAATAATCCCATTGCTCCTCGGCTTTTTGATGGTATAAATCTGTCAAGACTAAAAGCACTTACAATCCTTCGTACAAGACGCAGTCAATTTTAAAGACCATATGTTAACTTTAAAGAGCCTGGCATGGTACAGGGAAAGCTGTGATCCATTATTTATTTGCTAGCACACAACTGCGTAATGTAAAAATGAGTTATTAACTCAATAATAAAACACACTTCGCTCCTCTGCACCCGCTCTTTCACTTCCCACACTCTCAGCTGTTTTCCCCATCCTGGCAATTGGAAATCCATGGGTGTTGGTGTATACCTATAGATAGATGTTTTGTTTTTTTATGCCACTAAATGAAACTATTCCCGCAGCTCGGTTACTCTTTTATGGGCCGGTGAGGAGGACGGAAAAGGAACGCAAACTGTACACATGCACAGGTTCTGAGGACTTTTTTTCATTGAGGAACTGATTTAACCAAGGTCTTCCTGTAATACTTCAGTGCTCAAACGCATTCAGATTGTGTCATTATTTAAAATTATTCAGGTTTGTATGCAATTATTCAGTTTTGTATTGCTGATCATTGATAGAATCTTTAAATTTTGAATTTTGTAATATTTTGAATTAAAATTATTACATATTTGGGCCTTTTGTTACATTCTATTGAGAAGAGAATGAAGATGGAATAGGACATAATAACTAGAGAGATGGAAATGCTAGATTCAAACTCTCATGCCCGATATTAGAACCATAGTTTAATGTACCGGGGCATATGCTTTAGCAACAAGGCCACAGCTCCAGCATCAAACCATTTTAATTCTAAATTAATATGCTGAGAGCCTACAGATTGGATAATGAACAAAGTATAAAGAATAGCTCAGCCAAAAAATGAAAATTGTCATTAATTCACCCTCATGTTGTTCCAAAACGAAATGACTTTCTTTTTTTTATGTGGAACATTAAAACAGATATTTGAAAGATATGACCCTGTTGCCGAAAAATAAATAAATAAAAAGTTCTGTTCTCAGAAGAGAACCTACAGGTTTGGAACAACACGAGCGTAAGTTAATGATAATTTAAGTTTTAATTTTAATTAAACTGTCCCTTTAACTGTTGAAAGAATTGTTTATTTTGATTCTTTTGATGAAGTTTGAACTTAAATGAACTAATGTTTTACTGAATACTACACATGCTCTGTTCCAAAACCTACATAAAATGTAATTTCATTCAATACTGAACCTTTCCATTTTTTTGTGGATATATTTGAACCCAATATTTGAGTGTAGTATGTATTTTATGCTTTTTAGAGTATTGTTCTGTTTGTCTTTTTATAGTATTGTTCTGTTCTGTCTTAGCAACATGTTAACGTCAGACTCAACAGAAATCAGCTGTCAATTTAGTGTTCCGTGTAGAGCACTATTTGCATGCCAAAAAGAGTTGCTGCCTAGGTAGAGCGTTCTGAATTAGTCCCTTATGAGGTTCCTTAGTAGGCAGCAAGGCAGCTCGCTAGATTTTGGAACATTTCAAAGTCTTTTAGTTCCTTTTCATATTGTTGTTGTTGTCCTTTTATAAAAAAACACCGTTGAATTGTGTTGGAAACACAACACATGGCATGTGTATGCTGTACATTGATAAATGAGGATGATTTCATAGAATGAAAATGCTGAAAGTGTTTGTTTGTTCGTTTTAAATTGATGATTGGATCTTGTCTGTGTGCCATAAGCATCATTGTTGTGCTCCCCCCCCCCCATAGCAAACCTGTGCCAATCTTTACCCTCTTCTGCCCGCTTGGTGCCATGTGACAGACGGTTCAGACTACTGAGTGACTGCCACTGCCACTCAGGACCAAGGCTTAACTCACACTCACACACTAGCACACACTTAGTATTTAAAAATATCTCTCCTTACTGATAAGCAGGGGTGGGAAGTCATCCTTTTCTCTCCTCCAGCAGGGGCTGATGGCTACACCTGTCTTTTTTCGCTCCGGGGGCGAGTTTGTTTATTTGTGTTTTTTGTGGCAGAGATGCCCTATAGACTGCGGCTCAGTTTGGGGCATTCCACTCAACGGCTCCTTTCCCCCCCTCTTCTTCCCTGCCCGCCTCCTCTTTCTCTCTGTGGCAGCCTCGCTCCGCACTGCCCCCCTCCCAGCTCCAATCCCTGGAAGTTTGGAACTAATGAACTGACTGCTGAGCTGCCGCCACGGAGCTTGGTCCCAAACTATACTGTACTTCACACTCGATTTATTCTCCAGATGGCAAGACTACGCAGCCCTGCCGGGAGGGGCCACCTCTTCCACTGAAGTGTGAAAGTGGACGGATGTTGTTTTCGGATCCTCTGTGATCAGCTCCGAGCTCCCTCAAACCACCCGGCACTGTATGTAGAGAATAAATCCCCCTGCTAACGGGCACACTCGAGCTGTGATGGCTGTCTGTATGTTTGTGTGTGTGTGTGTGTGTGTGCCCTTGTTTGTCTTTTGCTGAGGTTCAGTGTCGCTGGCATTGGCACTTGTGTTATCTGATGCACTCACCTGCGGGTGGTGGCGACTGATGCTTGGAATCATGACGGTTATCCCTGATCTTTTTTTTATTCCTTTCTCTCCCTCTTGTTCTTACTGTCTCTACACTCCTACCCCTTTTCTCCTTTAGTCAGCAGCGCTAGTGCAAAACATCTTGCTAAGCAACAGGTTTGCTGGTTCTGCCCAGTCTGATGGAGATGTGTTTGCTTCTCAGAACCGATTTTGTATGATCCAGACCTCAAGGTTTTGGGGAAGCTGCTTTAAATAATAGCTTGGTTTCAAATATTTAAACTACAGTCAAGCTACATTTAAAAAAAAAAAAAAGCTATTTTACAAGCTGCTACTAAAAAGTAGTTAACCAATTTGTAGCTATTTATTCATTTTAAAATAACATTTTAAATATATAACCAATTCTATAATTTTATAATTTAATTTGAGTACTATTTCTTTGAAGGAATGAAATTTGACTCACAAACAATAACTTTTTTTTAATGAGTTTTTAAAACTTGATTAAGGTGAATATTAAATGTGAACAGATAATTTTTTCAAAGGGGTCAGTAATATTCCTTTTTGATCAAGTGACAGTAAAGGCATTTATACTGTTACAAACGTTTTCTGTTTCTATTTCTTTTTAACTTTCTATTCATCAAAAAATCCTGCCAGGAGGCAGCAGACTTTTTTCAACATTAATGATAATAATAATAAAAACAATGTGTTTCCTGAGCACCAAACCAGCATATTAGGATGATTTCTGAAGATTCAATGTTACACTGAAGACTGGATTAATGGTTGCCGAAAATTCAGCTTTGCCATCATGTGAATAAATTACATTTAGAATGTAATCAAAAAGAAAATGGTGATTTTAAATTGTAATAATATTTCACAATATAACAGTTTTCACTGTATATTTGATCATATAAATGCAGCATTGGTGAACATAAGAGACTTTCAAAAGTCTTAAATCGTACCGACCCCAAAGCTTAGTAGTGTAAATCAAGCCCAGAAGAATGTCAATAATGCAGTGGTATTAATTGACTACTGTAAGTGTGTGATTCTAAGAGCTGAAATGTTTTGACTGTGTCACAGCAGATTGTCATGTGTCTGTGTTATGTTGTACCATTTGGTCTTTTCTTTATCAGCCCTGGTGGTGGCAGTAGATGAAATGATTTGGGGGAAAAGAAAAGTCTCACATGGCTTATATTTCAACATATGCAATCAGCAGTTCATATATCAGCTGTGACTGAAAAGTCTTGCAGTAAAGCTCCATAGCAGTGGCTCCCTGTGTGAGAACGTTTCTGTTATCTTTTTCTCTAGTATACATTCACAAGTACAGTATGCGTTTTCTGTTTGTCAGGACTGGCTTAATAATACACTATTGTAGTCTTGAATTTCAGTTTGAGCTCATTTGAAAGTGTAATACTTTGGCTTCCTGTCAACATTCCCAATTTACCATAATCTATGCA